CATTGGAAATCACAAGTAGCGTGGGCATGCGGATGCGACAGACATAGATGCGCAAGCACAAGAAGCGTAGGCATGTAAGAATAGTAGCGTAGGCACGCGGATGCAGACAGACATAGACGGACAAGGACATGAAGGCATGGGCACGTTGCAACTTGACGCGTGCATGCCGAAATTCGCGAAACGGACAACGGACTTCGTAAAGAAATAAAATTTGATACAATTTGCCGGAAAAAGATGCCATCCTATTAAAAGAGGAGAGAATATTATGTACCCTTTTTGGAAAATAGACAACCTCGTATAAATAGAACCCTAGCGAGACTAGGGCGGACAACTTTTGATTTATTCTTCATAGTATAGGTAGCTTTATTCTCTCTCTCTCTCTCTCTCTCTCTCTCTCTCGTATGATGGCGGCCGCCGAGAGTAGCTAAACCCTTTTCCTTGGTGAAGGTAATCGAAGCTTTTGGAAATCAAAGATTTTGAGGTGTTTAAATATTAATACAAATCGGTTTGTTTATTTTAAATATTAAACTTTCTTCGTGCTTATTTTCATGATTATTTAGGTTAATTTCTAATGTGTATAGTTATTTTATTAACTTAGATAATCTATAGCTAGATCGAATATTAAATTCGTAATTGTTCAATCCCTTTGATTTGTGTAGCAACTAGGAGTGTATGGTTTGTCGTGTCAAAAACTAATGACTCTTAGGAGGATTGTTCAACTAGATTAAATACAACTACATGTGTTGTGTTATCTTACTTTGTTGATCTTTCTAATACATAAAGCCATTGTTTGATTAAATCTTAGATCGTATCTAGGGTTGTTAAATAATGAGGGTTGAGTAGAATACATGTTTCTAGTTGGCTAATCTTAAGGAAAGATTGATTTCAATATCACAACAAATATTTGAATGAGAATCCGATATTTCTTGCACCAAGGATAGATCTCAAGTTCCAAAAGTGGATATGACCCGAACCAAGGTTTATTTACTTGAATATTTAGTTTAACCTCGTTTTCCGAATTTAATTTGTTTAGTTTCAGTTATATCTCAATCAAATCAAAACCCCCTTTTTATTTATTTCATGTTTCTTATAGACTTATGACGACTAACGCGATTGGATTCCTCGTGGGATCGATCCCTACTCTCCCTTACTCATTTGTGTTGTAGGCGTTTACGAGTTTAATTTGGGTGCACACGACGAGCATCACACCACAAGTTACGTTCGGTAATATATTCTTTAGCATTATTTACTTATGTGCTTACTTGGGCATCATCATGCCGATAGTCGTGAGATATCCTTCGTTATCTTATAGTAAAAGCATAACACTCATAAGTCTTATTGCATATTATCAATGTCTAATCTTAACAATGTTATGACTTGAGACATTTAAAGATATCATTTTATGCTCATTAATGTTTGTTTCACATCTATTGATCAATCATCAATGTAATACATATCATATGGACTTCTATCTAATTTTAAATTATAAATAACAAGAATTAATAAAAATATTTTTTTATTAATTTTGAAAATGCAATAATATAATATTTCAAACCATCCAACTAAGTTGAATCTTGGGCACCTATACTAACAATCTCCTTCTTGCACTAGACCAACCAATCATGTCCCTAATGCTCGAAGATCGAACAAAGGTTTCATGTTTCTACTATGATAAAAGCTCGATCAAAGGATCTATTATGTTGTCATTAGTATGGATCTTTTCAATCCTTATATCACCATGATCGATAATCTTTCTAATCGAGTGATAATATCACAATTCATGCTTGGATCGTTGATGAGACCCCGGTTCCTTAACTTGTGTTATGGCTTTGTTGTTATCATAGTATAGTACTATGGGATTAACAACGCTTATAACAACTTGTAGTCCAAATAGAAATTTATAAATCCATACAGCCTTCTTTAGCTACTTCGTTATTGTAATATATTCAATCTCGATTGTTAAGTCGCTTATTGCTTTTTTCTTGGAACTCTTCCAACTCACGAGCATTATCATTTAATGAAAAAATGAATCCCGATCGTGACTTAAAGTCATCATGATCGGCTTGAAAACTAGTATCTATGAACCTTTTCATAACTAGTTCATCTCATCCGTAGACTAAGAAAGTATCTTTAATTCTTCTTAAGTTCTTTAGAACGCTCTTTATAGTAATCTAGTTTTCTCACCTAAATCGGCTACAAATGCTCAAAGCATATGAGACATCAAGCTACGTTTATAATATGATATACACGATAGGCCCTATGGCCGATGAATAGGAAATATGATTCATTCTTTCCCTTTCGCTTTATTTTCTAAGACACTTAACCTTACATAGTTTTATGCCATATGACATTGAAAGAAGTCCTCTCTTTGATTTTTTCATACTAAACCTTTTTAGTACTTTGTCAATATACGTGTTTTAAGAGAGCTCTAATATTCTTCGTGATCTATCTCTATAGATCATGATTCCTAAAACATGGGCTACTCCGTCCCATATCTTTCATAAAAAAATTCATAGATAGCTAATCTTTTACAAACCGTAACATAGTAATGTTATTGTCGAGAAGTAGAATGTCATCTACATAAAGAACAATAAAGTCTACTAAGCTCTTATTAACCTTCTTGTATATACAAGGTTCATCTTCATTTTGTGAAAAGTCAAACTTTTTTATCATTTCATCAAAATGTTGATTCCAACTCCTAGATGCTCACTTAAGTCCATAAATGGATCTTTGCAACTTATAAATCTTATTTGTATGTCTTTTTATGACAAAACCATCAAATGTGTCATATATACATCCTCATTTAAATTTCTATTAAAGAAAGTTGTTTTGACATCTATCCGTCATATCTCATAATTATGATATGCAATAATTACAAGCTTAATCCTAATGTATTTAACTATAACTACTAGTGAAAATATCTCATCACAATCAATCTCTTATTTTTCGAAGATAGCCTTTCGCCACTAGTCCGACTTTGTACATATGTATACTTCCATCTTAGTGGATACGATCTAGCTTTTCTAGGGTTTAAGCAAGACTTATCTAATCCTAAAGTCTTTTCAAGTACCGAGACTCGTCTAAGTTACTAGTGAGGTAATTTAGCCTCAACCTTATACATCATGAGGTATAGAAGGTCATTTCATAATTTTTAATGCATATGATAAGTTTCAATCCAAATGAGAGTCTAGATGATTATCGGTAGACATTTGCCTCTCGAATCTCTCTATCTAAATACAAAAAGGCTTTTTAAGCTTGGGGTCCAAAGCTTCGTAGGATTCCTTTATAGTGTGTGCAATAGTTCAAAGCGGACACATCCAACCAAATTCACAAAATATGTACATAATTTAAAACACAAAGAAACTAAATTGCATAAATTAAAATACTTGAAGTATATACAAGAATTGAAATGAAAAACTTAAAATTAAATGATAAAAATAATTGACTTGAAAAATAAATGATAAAAATAAACAAAGTAGATAAACTAAAAAGGATCAAACCTATGTCCTAACTCTCATCCCAGTAGAGTCGTCATTCTATCATTACTCGGATATTTAGGAGACTCTTAAAAATTCTATTAAAAATTATTTATTTTATTTATTTACTAAAGATATGAGTTATTATTGATTTTGGAGTCACCACTTAATATTAAAGAAACTAAGATACTTAAAATTAACACTTGTTCAAAGATTCTAAGGTAAGGAGTTGGTTTAGCCTTTGAAAAGATACCAATCACCCAAAGGCATCATTTTCCAAGAAAGATACCACATCCGGTTTAATCTTAAAAGTTTATCTCTTAAAATTTTTTATTTTTGTCAAATTGTTTCTCAAGTCAAAATTCTAAGTTTTATTTCCTAATCCAATTTATTTCTTTATTTTTGTTTATGACATCATATTAAATTGATCGTCGGACTTTATTGTCGAGAGTTTTGTCAATTCAACATCGGATCAAGTTTAAGTCTTGACATTATTGGAATGTCAAAAAATGACCTAATAATTAAAATATGATTGATTTGAGTTAATATCAGTCTATATTAAATAGAAGTCTTGTTAAAATTACTTAAAATGCTTTCTTTCTTTTTTTTCTTTTTTTTCCCTTAATTAAACTAAAGATGTTTTATTTTGAGATATGTGAAAAAAACATTATCAAAATTATTTTTTATATCTTTTTTATTTACTGCATTGTATTAAAATAATGTTGGGCTTCAAGATTTGGGAGTTTCATCAATTTAGCATCGAATCTAAATTAAAATCTTGACATGATAGACATGTCGAGGAACGACTAAAAGTATTTACGTGAAATGATGAATAAAATTGACTCGACTTGACTTATTATTATTATAGTATTTTTAACATGAGACAAATATATCGAACCACCGTACGTCCCTATTAAATAGGAGACTCGTTGGTCCGACATCACAACCGAATCAACTCCATACATTAAAATAAATTTTAAGTTTTCTAATACAAATAAAATTAACATTATTACAAAACAACATCATAAAATAACAAAAAAAAGGGTGAAAAAACAAATTAGAGTAGTCACTAGAAAATGACCAAAAATTAAAACTTAGATAGCTGTTGGAAATTACCAAACTACTCCTTCCATTAGGAAATGACCAAATTACCCCCAGCTACTAAAATGATGAAACGACCCTTTCTCAGCCACCTCTTCCTCTTCTTGTTTTTACCTTTGATGTTCGTTATTCAACTTGCTATACATTTGTCTATCCATTGGAGAGTACGATACTTGGCCTCCTCAATTCGTGGACCATTAATAGTGGTTTTTACTACATTGTTAATAGCCACAATAATATCTTTAATTGTCCCTTGTGTGCCCACAGGCATAAATAGAGGAGTCTGTAATACAAAGTGAGGAAGCATCAATCAAGCAGCACGAGCATGATTAAACCTCCCAAGAATCTCGAAACGATGTGCTATTGAAAAAATGTCCTCTCTATTATTACTCTGTAGATTTAACAAGGAGAAGGTGCTAAACAATGATTCACAGTAGCAACTTACAAGAAGCAGAGAGGAAGTGAAAGTGTGTTTGAGGAAAAAGAGCTTGATGTAATGCCCTAATGTTCTGCACCAAGGGGCAAAACCTAGTCTCTCCCAGCGACTGTGTCAATACGTGGTCATTAGTGGAGAGGCATGGGTTTGTGGGTGTGGCTGTGGTGGTCTTGTGGCTATGAGGGTTCTATCGTGGTGGTGAGGCTGAGTTCATAACTAGAGGGAGATCGATGAAATGGGACTGCTAGGTTTAAAATTTTAGGGCGTGCGGAAGGAAAGGGTATGGCATTTTTGCCAACGTTCGTATGTTAACAATGATGTTTGAATGAGGGCTTGTGAGAGAGAACTACCTATTAGTCAAGAGTGGATTTGAACAATAGCGAGAAAAAGAAGGTTTCAATTATTGGTAGCTGGCATTTAACGTGGGTGTTTGTTGGGTGGTGGCTTTCGTGTGAAGGGTGACCGTCGGCTGGGTGATGGTCGACGAGAGAGAGGATTGGGTGGTTATGAAAAGGGTTGTTGGCAGCTATGGAGGAGATGCTTTTTGGTTCGGGGTTATTGGAAATCGAGCAGGTGAAGGTGGAGAGGACGACGTGGAGATTGGCGGAGTGGGTGGTGGTTTTGGGAGGTATTCACTGTAGGTGTTTGTACTTTTATCTATGAGAGGTGGTTGGCTTAGTGATTGTTGAGAGGAGGATGGCTTGGTATGGTTTCAATGATAGTAGAAAAGGAATGGTGTGGCAGTGCGGTTGAAGACAGAGAGGTGAGCAATGAGGCACCAACTAATGGTGGTGAGAGGGATGACTGTTAAGTTTGAGGCTAGTGTTTCACAACTGTGGGTTGGCGGTGGAAAGGACTACTGTAGGGAAGTTTGCCAAATGGCAGTTGGTTGCCACGGATGGGTTATAGTGGTCTGCTGGAGAAGGGGAGTCTATGATGGTCGACAATGGTGCTTGACAAAGGAGATGATGGGTAAGGCAAGTCCATGGCAGCAGATTTTTTACGAGGAAGATGACAAGTTGCCCTTCTACATTTTTTTAGCCAGGTTTTTCTTATGGGTTGAAAAGAGAAGAAGATGAATAGTGGAGGCTATAACTTTTTTCAACTAGGAATTGTGAGGAATATACATAATGGTTGAGGACAGGGTTTTTCAGGTAAGTAGAATATTGTGGAGGCATTTTTATTTTATTTTATTTTATTTATTATTATTATTATTATTTTATTTTTATTTTTTTGAGGAAAGATGGGTGATGGAGGCTCCCAAAAAATAAAGTGAAGTGGTGTTTATACAGAGATTTTTTAGAATTTGGAATAAAATTAATTTTGGTTCTTCCTTAGTTTGCTTTTTTTTTTTTTTTTTTAATTTCAATGTATGTTCCATTATTTTTTTCCAATTAGCTTCTTAATTGAAATTGTTTAATTTTCTATTATTTTAATTTCTTTTAATTTCACATTAATTAATTCTAATTCAAGTTCCTTGATTTTTATTTTTAGTTTTTTAATTATATCCTTAATTGAATGTCACTTCATACTCGTTTTCACATCATTTTCAATTACATCTCAAATCATCTTCTTAATTTTTTAATTAGTTTTTTTTCTTTTTAAATTAAAAAAGGATAATAATTCTATGAAATTAAAATCCTAAAAATTTATAAAAATACCTAAAAATAATGAAAAAGACAAACTATGCAACATTTCAATTTCATTTTTTGAATTTTTGAATTTCTCCCCTTTTTTTGAATTTTTTTAATTTGGTATCAAAATAAATGGAGGGTCAAAATGTGTTATTACAGGTATCATAATAAATAGTCTGAAACAAAAAAAAAATGTTAAAAAATAAAATATTTTAATAAAAAAAAGAATTAAAAGATTACAAGAATCAAATGTAAGAAAAACTCCTTATTTGAAATAACACTACAATAGGCGTTGAATGTATTCAGTACCAAACTCGTTTCAACAAGAGACTCGCACAATGGTACTACTCGTAACTAACAGGTTGAGCAAGTACCAAAAGGGCTAAATTATGTCAAAATATAATGAATTTTCGATTAAATTTTTAAAAACCCCCAAATTTTAAATTTTTTTAAATTTACTTATCATAAATTATTTTTTAATAAAAAATGAATTCTCTAATAATTTTGACCGAACGTGAGTCATGCGATAGTTTAAAATCCAAATGTGTTCGGAAGACATTCCAAACACCTGATTTTTCATTTAAAATTAAATCGACACAAAGAATTTTTTAAAAAGAAATTTCCTATTTAATTATGATAATAATTGTAATAATTGGCAAAGCGAATTCCTCATCCCCATGTTTGATGTTTGTCTAGGTAGATACATAAAAATTAAAAATTAAGAAGAAAAAAAAGAATGGTGCTCGCTAAATCCATCACTAAATTTATTATTCTTCCCATTTTAAAATTACCAACACACATTTCCATTGATATTTCTTACTACAGCATAGTTAAATATATTTTATATCAAATATCTAAAATGTCTATCAATATTCACTATAAAGAAAAATTTAATTTGCGACGGTTTAGTCCGTCTTTAGTTTTAAAAACAATTATAATATACCAAAACATCAAATTTACAATCGAAATTGATAATTCATGCGATTAATTATAATTAACAAAGCATACAATTAAGGATTCAATGGATGTTTTGATACCAATTATAGGATCATGCATCCTATGGTGATATGAAATAAAATAAAAAATTTTCCTTTATCTAAAGCTCCCAAGTTCAAGATATTGAATCAACTAATCATATATGCATGAATTAAACCTTGAGTAAAGGATTACCTCTTATATACAAATTTAGCCTTTGCGAAAAAGGAGTCATCTAGGTGTCCGACCTCTATCGATAATCCGCAAAATCCAAGCACCCACACAAGAAGCAATCAAAAGTTATAGAGTGCTAGCTCCACCTTTTTCTAACTTGTTTAATTTTTCTCTTTAGAAATCTATTTTGAGATATTTGTGAAAACTCTAAAAAAGAGGGAGAGAGTTGACATGATTTTTTGGGAGAGAGAACGAGTTTCTCTCTTTATTTCTTTATGTCGTGTGTCTCTAATGCCTTAGCCCTCTTTACTCGCACCTTTCTCTTTTATTGATAGGGGGTATTATCTTTCCTATCCAAGTACAAGGAAGTGGTAGCAACAAGTCCAAAAAAGACTCTAGATTATGGCTTCCTAGACCTCCAAGGATTAGGAGTTACAATGCATATGGTTTTTTTCATTTTATCCTTATAAACTCGGATCATTATCCAATAAGGGTCAAGTTTATCCTTCAACCAAAATATCTTCAAGGCTTTTAAATTAAACCAATCAACCTAAACTCTTTTTACCTAACTAATTACTAATTAATTTGGATAATCCAAATAAATTGGGTTAGATATTTTTAGGAAGCCCACATTAGGAAGTAATTTTTCAAATTATCCTTAAACCAAAACTAGGAAACTAATTTCCTTTTTAGGTAACTTATTTCTAAATTTTGAACCGACTTCTAAATTAGAAATCCGATTTATAAAATAAGAAACTTTCTATTTTAGGAAACCTTTTCCAAAATAGTAAACTTTCCATTTTTGAAATTTTTTTCCAAAATAATAAAATTTTAATACTTGGAAACCTTTTCCAATTTGCTTCTCTTTTATTATGAGAATGCTTAAAATTATGTTTGTAACTCAATAGGCTCCTAGATACGTTGGCAATGTATTAAGAATAAAAGACATCTCTTTTATCTTTTGATACATAAATCAAGATTCGCTCTCTAGCTAGCCATTATGACTACCCAATTCTCTTAGAATATTAATTAATCTGCAACTACCTTTCTCAAGCATGGTTACCAAATAATTTATTCCTCATGTTAATTTATCATAATGTGAATTCAATCTCGGTTTATTTGGTTTATAGTCTATTCAATTATGATTACACAAGCTTTCTTCGATTCCCAAATGTCCAAGCTCTTATAGTAAATCAACTATGCTTTATTAGTGTACATCTACTATAGCCATAGATTCCTTTAGAGAAAGAGAGAGGGAGAGAGGAGAGGGAGGTTGCGAGAGAGAGGTAGGGGGAGAGGAAGATGGAGAGAGAGGGAGAGAGAGAAAAAATTGAGAGAGGGAGAGGGAGTGATAGAAGGAGAGGAGAGAGAGGGAGAAAATGAGGAAGAGAGTGGGAGATAGAGAAATTGAGAGAGAGGAAAGGAGATAAAGTTAGATAGAGAAGGATAGAGGAAGAGAGGGAGAGAGAGAAATCAAGAGAAAGGAAGGGAGACAGAGGAAGAGAGGGGGAAGAGAGAGAGAGTGTGAGAGAGTGGGAGAGAGAGGGAGGGAAATGGATGGAGAGAGAGACAGAGAGAAAAGAGAGTAGAAAAGAGAGGGAGAGAGAGCGAGGGAGAAAGATTGGGAGGGAGAGAGAGGGAGGGAAAAAGAAAGAGTGAAGGAATGAGGGAGAGAGGAGGGAGACGGGGAGAGGGAGAGGGAAAATGGGAGAGAGAGGGAGAGAGGGAGAGGGAGAGGGAGAGGAAGAGTGAGAGAGATGTAGAGTAAGAGAGAGGAAGAGTGAGAGAGATGTAGAGGAAGTGAGGGAGAAAGGGAGAGAGAGAGTGAGAGGGAGGGAGGGAGGGAAAAGGGGAGAGGAGAAGAGTGAGAGGGAGGGAGGTAAGGGAGAGGGGTTGAGGGAGAGGGAGAGAGATGTTAGGAGAGAGAAGTAAAGAGAGAGAGTGGGATATATAAAAGAGGAGAGAGGGAGATAGAGGGTGAGAGAGGGAGAGAGATAGAGAGAGGCTGGGGGTAAAAGAGAGGGAGAAGAAGAGGAAGAGAGAGGAAAGTTGAAAGAGAGAGAGGAAGAGAAGGGGTGAGAGAAAGAGAGAAAGAGGGAGGGTGATTGAGGGTGAGAGAGGGAGAGAGAGAAAGAGAGATTGGGAGGGAGATAGAGGGGGAGAGAGAGAGGGTGGGAGAGAGGGAGGAAAAGAGGAGAGAGAGTGGGAAAGAGGGGTAAGAGATAGGAAGGGAGAGAGAGGGAGAGAGCGAAGAGTGTCAAAGAGGAAGTAAAGGAGAGGGGGAGAAGAAGGGAGGGAGGGAGAGGAAGAGAGAGCTATAGAGAGAGAGGAAGATGGAGAGGGAGAGAGAGGGAAAGAAAGGGAAAGAAAGAGGGAGAGAGAGGGAGAGAGAGAGAGGGTGGGAGATAAAAGGAGACTGGGAGAGGGAGGAGAGAGAGAAAGAGAGAAAGAGGTGAGAGATAAAGGAAGAGAGGGAGAGGGAAGACAAGAGAGAGAGAAATGGAGAGGAAGGAAAATAGAGTGAGTGGGAGACAAAAAGGAGGAGAGATAGAGAGGGAGGAGTGTAACTCCCATAAAATCCTTAATTATGAATCAATATATATATAGGTCAAAATATCCAAATATATATATATATATACACACTAAGTGAAGGAGTAATTGTGTATGCCATTTTAATATTTTGATGCTAATGTGTTTGGGTACTTGTGTAGGAATTTTTAGGTGAAAGGTTCGGATAATTTTAATTATCATTTATTTATTCCTAATTATTTAGAACATATTAAACAACTAGGGAATGTGTTTTAAAATTTTTTGAAATGCTGAATTTTACAAGAAAATGGCCAAACGGTTTAAGGAGAAAATTTTGAATTTTAGAGGTTTTTGAGAATTAGATTCTGTCCAAATTTTGTGAGACCTATTCATAGACCTTAGAATGATTTCTGAGTAAAACTTAAAGAATAAAAATTTTTTATCTATGTTTCTACTAACTCTCTGTAACATTTCATTATTATTAGGTCTATATAAAAAA